CCCGCCCCCCCCCTTTTCATGAGCGCATCCAAACCAACTGAAGACAGCCTTTTTCTTGGTGTGTGTAGATAAATGCTGGGATTTTCCAGCTGGAGAGTTACTTCTTCTATTTTGTTGAAAAACTAGCCTATAGACTTGTTTTGGCTGCCTGGTAGAGCTCTAAAAGCAATGCCATGTTTTTGTTTTTTGGTGGTGTACAGGGAGGGTCAGAGGTCATGATCTCAGTGTTTCCATGGATCGTACTTATTTTCGTTGGTCAAAATAAAATTTTTGGACTAAATGGACAATTTGGAAGTTGGACTACCCTTTCAATATGAGGTTGCAATAGTTGAACACTCAAGTAGGTGACAGCTCAGTTTTTATATGTTTACCATATATTCCAATGGGGGCTGGAAATAGTGTCCTGTCCCGTACATACAGTTGCAACCTCGGGACATGCATCATAGTCTCGCGAGATTTCACGGTACCTCTCGGGATTTTTTTTCTTTTCAAATTTGCGGTAGCTATGTGATTTGCGGTAGCCATGTGATAGCAAAGAATTTCATAAGCTTGAAATTAATATTGTATGATTCCATTTGATAGAGAACTGTAGGTGGGAATGTCATGCTAGAATTTGAAAAAAAATGACGATGTATGGGTAGAACATGGTATAAATGTTTGAATATCGTTTAGGAATGCTAATATTTCAATCGTATAAACATGTTTTTTCACATTTGATGCAGGACAACAAGAAGGACAAGAAGGTAAGAGACCAATTTGCATTTAGAATAAACCAATTACTAATACATTTATAACTGCGGTTTATGGTTAATTTGCATCTCGTCCTACGCAGCGAGGGTTGTAAGTGGTGGGCGGAGATTGGGTTTCAGTTGGTTGACAGGGTTGTGACCTGGTATATCCTGGGTGGTAGGATGTGGTGTGGGGTTGTTCCTACATTTTCCAATTTTGGCATTTGTTAAACAAGAAATGATACCTACGTTGTGCTAAGTTTAATGCAACTATCACAACATCCCTTTGTCACTAAAACAAATTTAAAAAATAGAAGTTTTCAATCATTGTACGAATGTTTTTTTAATTCAAAGGGATCACCACATACATGTAATTGAAATTCATCACTGCATCAAAGTAAAAGACAAAACAATAAACCAGAGTCTTGTCTCCTAACTTAATACTTATCTGACTTGGCAACAGACATCTTTGCCCATTTTCGGCAAATTTCTTCTTTTGTTTGTCCAAGATCAGGCGAAAATTAATTTAATGTGCGCGCTAATGTCATCCATAAACATAACTTGCTGTGATACAGTTCTGATACATTCACAAAACCCTCCAAACACTGATCTGATTCTGATCTCGAATCTCTTTACTTTAATCAGGCATGCTCTTCATCGTTCGGTGAATGTAAGAAAGATGGCGACTGCTGTGGAAAAAATGCCAAATGTGTCAAACAGATGAACTTGCAGTACTGTTTGAATGCCTAAATGACAAGAGATGCCCTAAAACAATCTTATCACGTAAGTTTACTTCTTCTTAAAAATAAGTAGCATTGGTCTCTCATTGTATGAAAGTACTTTTATAAACTTTTGAAGTTGTATGTTTCTGACAGGAATTAATGACTCAATGGTAGAATATCTAATATTTTTTGACAGAGCAAACTAGAAGTACATGATTAAGCGGAATTGGCATTTGGGTATTGCGTGTTTCATGGTTTCTAAAAATGTACTAAATCAATTACAACGAAATCATGCATGTGATGACCAAATATGCATGTCATGAGCAAATGCATCCTTTTTCAGGAAGCTGCAAATCATCAGCAGTAGCAGTAGCATAAACTCTACCATCAGCAGTAGCATCAGCAGTGGCATCAGCAACAGCATCACATTAGCATCAGCAGTAGCATCAGCAGTAGTTTCAACAGTTTACCATCGACCATGCAGTATAGCATCTCATCATGTAGGTGCATATGCAGGCTAGATACATACTAATAAGAAGAAGTCAACCAAAAAGGCCGTACATGAACAGCTAGCAGCTTGTCGTAACTTTACAATTCGATACCTACAGCATCATTACTTATTTTCTCTTGAGCAAATACATGGCCATCTTTATGCATCGATTCATAGTAAAATGTGGTGTTTTGAATCGTTTACACTAAGCAGATAGTTAGAGTTACTATTGGTGTTTAGTTGGAGAATTGATACTAATAGCAGACAGGATAACCATAGTTTACTTTTACGTTTTGGCAAATGTACTTAGTCTAACAACATCATTTTTGAGTGATTATTAATTGAAGAATGGGAATAAGGTAACATTGTCGACGTCTTTCTGTAGCGCTAATTACTGTTTTTAATAAGATATTTTATTCGATGATTTACAACCTATGGTTGTCAAATATATCAACGTTAAAATAAAATCACACTGACAGAGAAAAAGTAACAATCTTGTTCTCATATTCATACTCCAGTCATAATTATTATGTATTCCGATGTTAAGTTGACCCAGACTGACCCAAGACTATGCAAATTTTACTTAGTATACGTTTGTATTGCTTTTTATTTATCGATAATACCGACTTTTGACAATAAAGGTGAGTTGGAGGGAATTTGACACTTGTGGTCTCATAATGAGTTGTCTTGTTAAAGTTTTGGATAAAATTTTCTGGAATTCCAGGAGTTCTGAGTAGTAAAAAGGTCTTGGGGTTAGGAGTAAGTGGTGTAAGTTTGGGCCCCCTAGCAGCTTGTTATGGAACTACACGGGCATTTGTTGCAAAGAAAACTTTGAAGAACGATAACTCTAAAACCGGTTGACTGATCGTCATGATTTTTGGTATGTAGGCAGCTTAATTCATTTTTATTTTTATTTTATACACATAAATTTTAGAGCATTGGACAGAAAGCACATGATGTGCTTATATTATGTTTGCTTATAAGTGATGCTTACAATAATTATATATTTATGCTGTCATTGGGTGTAGAATATGACCAACTGATATAACTCTTGCAAATAAGAATCTTATTTTCATAATCTATGAGAAACACCTACAAGTCATCAGTCGTAAAGGTTAACATCATTTGGCGAAGGTATGGCATCGTGGAACTCTATTTACACATATTAACGTTTTGTTGTGTTTTGATGAGTCACAATGACGTAAGCACAAACAACACGATACATAAAGCATTTTGACCGAAATATGTATTTTGAAACGAGAATTGCACAGATTTGAATATCACATTTTCTATTCACATTTAGTCTGTTTTTTTTTACAAAATAACAACATATACTTTCTGTTTTTATCGAGTTAACACCCACAAATGAACAGCATATGGCTTTAGTGCTATTGTTTCTCTTTAACATACACTCTGACCCACACAATGTCTGAAAATATCAAGGCCACACAACCCGACTCGTTTAGCGTTGCCCTTTCCAATGCTTTACAGTAATCTTTGGCAACTGACAGGTGTAGGTTTTAGGCTATAGCGTTCGACATTTTTACACAATATGCAACACCGTCTACTCGTATATGTCCCCCAAAACTTTATGTTGTTACCTAAGTATGAACGACTCCTCGTAATCACTAAAACTAGATGTGTCTTGACTATCAAACCAGACGACCATGGCTTCTCGACCTTCTCCAGACCGTGGTTGTGAGTTTGTCGTGAGCGATTGGGCATTGGTCGGCGACTTGCCTTTCAAAAGTCGTCAGCGACAGCCAAATGTGAATTTTGACAGATGAAACTCGGGAAAAGTCTTGGATGGGAATGGAGTGACGATCTGGAGCTAGAATGGGATAGATTCGAGACTACTCCCAACCTATCGCCAACCTTGGTCGGGAAATGGTCGGGAGCAAAGTCGTGGGAAGGTCCTGGCTGTGGTAGCTACCAATCAGAGGCAGTGGTTTCATTACAAATGTACTACATTTTATACATCAATAAGTGTTGATAACGTTACAATCAGTGCCCATTTGAAGTCTAAGAAATCATGTAAGGAGCTCACTTTTGCGGGTAATTTTTTTACGGTTTAATATCCATATCCATACGTCAGGCAGCTAATGTGTAGAGTTGAAACAAGTCATGATACAGGACTGTACGCTAAATTTCCGTCTCGTAAACGGCCGTTGCCATTTGAAATGGTCGATGCCATATCGCTGACTTGCCGATGCCATGTCCGAGCGCATCATAACTTTTTTGGGGGGAAGGGGGGGGGTCAAAAATGTATGAAACGTATAAAAAGCAACATTTCAATTGCAATGCATCGTTCAGAACAGGTAATTACATTATAAAGTACATGTAGTAGTAATAAAAGACCACAGGCTTGCACGACTCAAAAAGCTTGATCCTAAATGTTAATCCTCTACGTTACGAAACATCATGGCGTCGACAGAACGTACCATTCTAATACATCAAAGAATGTTTAGACCTTAGAACAAGTAGTATAAGCTGATACATCTATTGTCTTGTATGTAGGTTAATTTCGTTATGCCTACATATTTGTCTGTGTGTCTACAGGTGCCTTACGAAAGTCGCTGTACTTTTGTTGTGCCAATAAAGTTTTAAAAAATTCTACGTTATGGTATCAACCGTTTCTAGTGGCAACAGCCGCATACGAGACGAAAGTTAGCAGGCGGTACAGGCGGTGGTGGTTCATCTCTTGTTGGCCTCCCAGGCCTGTTTGACCGGCGGGAAGTTGGGCAGGTTCGGGCGGGCTGCCAGGATGTACAGGGCCTGGTCACGGAGGAAGTCCATCCACGTCACCGTCCTGGCAAGGCACAAGAAACGGTAGGTTATAACTTTAAATCCCTCTCACTCAAAATAATGTATAGCCTCCACCGGGACTTCATAATATAAGGGGGAAAATAGTGTCTGGCTGGGCAGAGGATTGAGCCCACCGTTAGGTTTTATTTGTGTATTAAAATTTTCCAAGGATTTCATTTTCATTGTGTTATTCGTTATTTACGTTTTCTGTTGGTTCGCGAGGGCTTACATTTGTTCTCGCTTTTGTTTTGGTTGACTGTTATTATTTGTTATAATGTTGGTCTTTGAAAAACGCCTGGATTACCTGGATAAAACAAACAAACAAACAAACAAACAAACAAACAAGACCACAACAGGGAAATTGTCAGCTAAAAAGGGGAGGGGGATAAAACGATCACGTATTTACATATAAATTCACTAAAATCAGTACACCAAATCATGGCTCACGCACTGCACCTAACCACAGCTTCGCTAGGAGGCGCCCATGATCAATGGCTTCCAACCTGTCCTATCATCAACATGGCGTAGAATCGCCAATCAAACGATTCGTGTCACTGAAACATAGAGAAACCTACAGAAATCTTACCCTGTGGATTTTGTATCTGCGTCCATCAACATCCGGGCATTTGTGTCGACGTGCAAGGCCAGAGAATGGGTCTTCTGTCGCTCAGGCCTGGTTGGATAAGGCAGAGATACATGATACATTACATTATTATGTTGATAATGAATAAGTTTAGGCCACAGCAAGTAATTTTTATGGATCACGTCAGCGCACGCATTAATTTTCGCTTGATTTGGGGGGGGGGACAAGATTTTTTGTTGCCTTCTGACAGTGGGCAACATGCCGAAATTGGACAAAGATGTCTGTTGGCTATGTACATGTGATGTTCCCACTGAATCAAAATCAATGTACAATGATTGAAAACTTTAATTAAGTTGTTTCAGTGAGAGATTGATGTTGTAATAGTTGGCAGTAATATATGTACCATTTTTGTTTAACAAGGTTCATGATGTCAAAATTAAAGATGTAGGAATTTTGTTTTTTGGTCCGCCTTTTTTTGCCCTATTGCATGCATTAGATCTGGAGTCTGCCTAGGATGCCATTCATAAAATTAACTCGCTGTGGCATATAGGTCTAAGATAGTGTCTTTATAATTAGACCTGAAAGCGGGGAATGTCACAATCCTCCGTATAGGTCATAACATCACGATGATCTGACACATGATGAGCCTTGATTTGACAGATACATTTAATGACTAGAGCAGGCTGACAGATTATGACAGCGTGTCATTTGATGATACTTGTGACATATTCGTGATGAGACCAGGGATAAGGTTAGATTGAATAATTAACAGCCCAATCGGTCAACTGTGCGATAAAACGCTCTTCGCGTTGAAAGGTTATGTCAATCAATTAAAGAACACGACATATTACACGGAAAAATAGACGTTAAGCAGAGACAACAACAGCAACAGCACAGGTGTTATGTTAAAAGTTAAAATTTTTGATCCAACACAAAGAAATCTCTCACCTAGAGCTTTCGACCAGTCACTCTGGTCTTCCTCAGTAGACTGACACAGGGAAGCTTGTCACGTGGCTTCTTTGAAGTGTGACGTCAACACTGGATTTTGGACACTGAACAAGACTATTTCTTGAGAAGGGTGAAGGAAGCTATATACATCAGGGCCCATCAACCTTCATTGAACCGCGACGGGGGCCGACATCGTCTACCAGATACCTTTGACCCAGTGTTGACGTCACACTC